TAAAACTGGCTGACCTACTCGTGGAAAAGAAAACAGACTTATATGGGATAACGAACTTTTCAAGAAAACACATTCCCAATGCTTTGCAAAGAAAGAAACGAGAAATTGCAGCCTATAGAACAGGAAAGATTACAGTTATGTGTTGGAAGGACAAGAATGATGTGATGCCGCAATCAACCATAAATAATGTAGAAATAGTGAATGTAGAAAAAAAAAAGGTAAAATTAAAATAATGATGAAAGTAGTAATGGATTATAATAATACAATGGGAGGAATGGACTGAGCTAATCAGCATTTGGCAGATTAATCTCTTCCACGGAAATGAGGCAAGACGTACTATAGAAAATACTCTTTTCATCTTGTAGATCTGGCCCTGTAGTATTCATGTATCCTCTATTCCAAAACAGGAGGTGACAATACACCTTTGCAGTACAGAATAAAGATGACACAGAAACATACACCTGCATTACCCTCAAAAACAGGATGACCAGAAACATACACCTCATTACCTTCAAAAACAGGATGACCAGGAACAACACTGCCTCCATTTCATCTCTTGGGAAGACACTGTTCTGATTGTGATGTATCACTCTGTTGCACCTTGCTTCTGAATCTACCATACTACAACAAACATCTAGTTGAATATGTTATAAACTTTTAGATAGTTTTCTGATAGCTTGTCCTTTTACTTATTTTTTTTTATAATTGTGTAATTGTTTTCTGCATGCAAATAAACCTAGATATGTTATTTTCTTTACACTTTTCTTATATTCCACGAGATATCTCAAGTTTATAATAAAAGCATTTTTTTTACAAATAATAATAAATTGATGATAACAAAATATATTGCATTTCACTTTGCCTATGTGCATTTTCCTGAAAAGTTTCTGAAACTTCTCTACAATTAAATTATTTTTAGTACTATCAGGGATATACTCTGACTTACTATAATACGAGTAGGGTAATCAGTGCACTAATCAGAACCACTGCATGAGAAAACTGCAACTGTGATGCTTCACAATTTGAGGTACTGTGTTCACTGACTTTTGCAAAACAAAATAAGTCATATACAAACTACTTGTGTTATGTAGCTTAGATTTCATACTACATACATCGAACATTTTTTTTAATTTACAACATTAAAGGCTATCTAAACTGAACAAAATATAATTTAATTTATTTATTTATTAGTTACTGAAAAACAGACCAAAAAACAAAGGGACCAGTAACAACACAGTTATTTTAAGATATTTAGAATTACACACTTTTGAGATTAAAAAAATTTAAAGTTGTTTTACAAAAATTAAATACAAAAAAACACTCGATTCTAAAAAAAATATTATTAAATAAAGAGTCAAGTTATTACAGTATGTAGTTCTGTTGCCACAGGTTAGGTTACAAAAGTATGAAGAGTTTGGTATTTATATCAAGAAGTATTAGCAAAACAAGACATCAAGTTTACCATATGAACAGTGAAGTTGAGTTTTAGTTTCATTTTTATGAAAACTAAGCTAAGATACATAGTTGAAGTATTACATTCATAGTGTAAACAAAACTATAACAATTTAATATACATGATGAATGGTTCACACTATAAAAACCCCAATAAAAGTCTAATTTTTCTAACTAAACCTTAATAAGCAATTCTCTAGGAAACATTAATTAATCTAATTTTTAATTGGCTATGTTAAACACATATCACATAATAAATTAACATATTTCAGAAACGTTTGCATGCCATCTATACAAACATTTGTTTTCCATAACATTCACAGTAAAGTTGTACAAAATATGAATAAAACAATCTATCTTGGTTAGAAGGAAAGAATTCATGTAAATTTTGTTTACATATGTAAGTATAAAAAAATAGCCTTCTATAAAGTGGCGGCTCCTCCCAAACTGAACAGTTTTTTATAAAAATCAAACCAACAACAGTAAAAAAAAACAATAAGCACTGAAAAAAATGGAAGGTGTATTATTTTATAATAATTATACCAAATTTATAGTAACATTAACCTTTATGCTTGACTTTTACCAAAAGTCAAAAGGGATTTTCCTTGCCTCATGACATTGTATATATCAGGTTTGGTGAACATCCATCTATTAGAACTTGAATGTACAGAAAAAACTTTCTACTTTTAGTAACAGCAACCTTCACATTTGACTTTATACTCTCCAATACTTATTACTATTAAGTCATGTTTCACAACTGAGGTATCTTCATTTTTGCTGATGTATTTAGTAATTGGTATCATAATTCCTTTTAAGTTATTTATACTGTCTTTTCCTTCAGGAACTTAATATACTTTCCAATCCATTTTCCTTATCTCTCTCACACACACGTACCCATTACCAATTAGGGCTCACATGGAAAACAGGAAAAACGTAATGGTAATCACATCACAAAAATATCAAGTAAAAATTCAGATTTACCTAGATTACGAGGCATGTAAGGGGTCAGAAGACGTGAAGTGTCATGTCCGCTACTCTGCAGAGCTTCAGCAACTACAGTTTTATCAAATAAAAGGTCATCTGTAACCTCTGGCAATGAATTAAGAGCTTGTTTGTTGTCTTCCCAGGGAAGAAGATGTCGAGCTCTCTCACGACGATTCTTAATAATCTGTGAAAAAAATGAAGTTTTAGAAAATGTTTATGATTAATATAGTTAAGTATTTTATATTTTTGTCAATGTGACTGTTAAACAATTAAACTCTTAGGAATATATTTTGTAGATAAAAAAATTATACTTTTGTGAAAACTAAGTAATGATAAAAATATTAACATTAAAAATATTTTTCTTGTTATTTTTTTTAAATGAGAAAAGACTAGGAAAAAACAGGAAAGGATAAAAACTAAATTAAAATTTTTTTTCAGAGATTCATTTATTTCCGATGCTATTGAAATAAGTTAAGAGGCATTTTTAATCCTGGATATCATCTGCAGTACATTTTCACATATAATACAAAATATCACAACTAAAAATTTACAATTTTGTATATCAATTTACTCAACTTATATGTCCTTGTTTTCCAATGCTGTCATGATATAAAAGAATGTTTAGTTTCAATATTATTGATTAATTTATTTTTGCAAATTAATATTTTATTATTGTTCAGTTTTTGTTATAATAATAGTTAAAATCAGACAATTGTAGGATGTTTTGTTAATAATTCATTGATGATGAGACAATCGAACATTGTGTAGAATACACTGACGTCGAGAATATAGAAGGCGGGCAGATGATTAAATGATAAAATATAAATAGTGTGAGATGAGCAAAAACAGCAGACAGATCATAGGAAAAAAGAGTAAAGTTACAGGGCAAGGATAAGTTTGGAGTGAAGTTAACTACCATAGAAGTGATAGGCCTAACGATTAACATAGGCCTAATGTTTAATATAGAGTAAGACTAACAATAGAAAAGGAGATAAGAAGAAGAATTTATTCCGTCAAAGCGTGGTTCTAAAGTAATTGAATCAGCCTAAGTGCACTTTGACAAAAGGAACAGGGGATCTTCTGAAGAAAGAAGACCAAATGATTACGGTAACTCGTGCCACAATTGTAAGTGAATCACACACATAATACTAGTGCAATAGTAATAGAGAAGATAGTTCAGCTTGTCAACTGCAATTCTAAAGTAACTGAATAGGCCTAAGTGGACTTTTGACAAGAAGAGAACTATATACATATATATATAGTGTTTATGATATGCCTATAATCTCTATAGTGTGAAGAATTTTTTGTACATACATTTAACTTGTTCTGAATATATATATTATTTTGAAAACAAGTGAAGTGCGTGCTCTTTATTTATCATTGAATTTACTGGCAACAAGTCACAGACACTACTGTAGAAGAATCCTAAGCTCAACAACAACATAGTATAT